TTGTCGCCTCTTACGACACCCACAGGGTGATATGAGTGAATAATCTTACACCACCATCGCGGTTAACCAAATCACGAAGAGGAGGGAAACAAACCAAGCTACATGGGCAGCAACGTTTTCAATAGCAGCTAGGAAAAAATTGCGATTGCCAGTGCGTCTGCCAAGCGTGACTTCTATGGCAATTGGGGAGGCCTAAATTTAGCACTGAACTTTGATAGACCGTAATTTATTATTAGACTAGCTGTTCCCCGCGACTTCGCCCGCGCGTAAGTAATTACGATTGGATTTCATGGGTTTAGGGTCGCGGTACCCTAATTCTTTTTATAAAATAAAAGTAGCCTAAGTTACTTCTTATAATACCAGCTATCTGTCAGTGTAAGTCGGGTCAAAATCGGTCTAGCCGTTTCGGAGATTAGCCGGAACAAACCGACAGACAGACAGACAGACATAAAGACAGACAGACAAAAATTTCAAAAATCGTGTTTTTGTTATAATTACTGTATATACTTTCATATGCATATAGTAAAAACCTATTATTTCGACATTACAAACAGACACTTCAATTTTATTTATTTGTATAAATTTATTCAGTATTAAAATGTATTTTACTTTTAGTTTCTCCTACTTAAAAGTATAAATTAATTGATAAATAATAATTTAAAAATTTATTTCTTCTTAATATATCCATCATATAAATAGGTATATGTTTTATTATACTTATTATTTTATTTATATTATTTAGTATTTATTAATCTCTATAAATAAAAATCAACTGCTGACCGTTAGTAGAATGGAATAGAATAGAATAGAATAGAATAATTTTATATTCAATATAGATCACATGTGTAATTCTTATTGAAAGTCATTTTTTACTTTACCACTGGTTCGTAAAAAAACCTCTGTCCTAGGAAGAACCAGTAAGAAACCCAGCGGGACTTTTTTTTAATAGCATATTTTACATTAATGGTTGTACAAACTACCTATATAAGGGGGCGTTCAAGTATTACGTAACGCAATTTGGGGGGAGGGGGGGTCTTGTAAAACGTTACGATGCGTTACAGGGGCGGGAGGGGGGTTCGACCAACGCGTTACGTAACATTTTTTTTATTTCAATAAAAAACTGGAATTAAAATCTCCCAAGTTAGCAACCCTTTTCTCTTTTGTAATCTTTTTTGTCTATGTTTTACGGGGAATCCCTCGACTGTACTGTACGTCATTTTTATTTTGTTTTCGTTATCAGTATTCGTTTTACGCAGAAGCACATTGCTGTAGTCAGTCTTGTTACAAGTGAGTTCATACTGTAATGTCCTCTAATGAATAATATTTGCATCATTAGTTTTTCTTGGCATATAAAGGCTCTCATGCTGATTTGCCAGCGTAACTGTGCCAAAAGAATGCCAACGAAATTTGGAAAACGGCTAAAGAAAAACTAAAAATAAAGAACAGTTTATAGAACATATAAATGATGCTATACGAGAGTTCAAGGTGGCCAAAAAGGCCACGAAGGAGAAAGCAACTATGCTTAGTTATTTTACACAGATAAGTTTACTGCTAAAATATAATAATATTACTTATTCTAGGTAGGTATATGATATATAACCCAAACCTAGATATTTCGTAAAAAAACCTGGTCATAATACTTATATATTTTTAGCTACCTATCCAAACGTCAAGCACGCCAGCAACACTATTGTCAGCAAGGCCTAATGTCCCAACGACTTAGCGTACTCTTCAACAAAAACGGTGTACATACGCGAGCAGGCCGACAAGTCAAGAATTTTGCCATTCAACACTTCAATAAATACAACTTGGTCGCCCTGTTCATAGCGACTAATGCTACTAGGTGAAGCGCATACAATCGAGTAGAGCGGAGAACGACTGTCAGGTGTCATCCCGCCGCAAGAACATTTTGTTTTTTTTTTTATAGAAGAGGGGACAAATGAGCATGCGGCTCACCTGATGGTAAGTGACTACCACCGCCCATGAACAACCGCAACACCAGAGGAATTGCAGATGCGTTGCCGGCCTTTTAGAAAGGTGTAAGGTCTTTTCTTGAAGGTCCCTAAGTCGTATCGGTCCGGAAAAAAATCGCCGGTGGTAAACAATTCCACAGAGAAGTTGTACGAGGAAGAAAACTCCTAGTAAAACGCACAGTCGTGGACCGCCAATCATCAAGATGGTGAGTATGACATCGTAAATTTAGACGCGATACGCTTTCGTGTAATTTAGCGGCTAGAATTAATCCGAACAATTCCTCAGAGCACAGTGGTAAATTTGATAGAAAATGCAAAGGGATGCAACATCCCTACGCAGTGCCAGTGAGAACAGTATTCCATGTGAGGCCGGACTTGCGCTTTGCGTTTGTCGCTCTGTTGAGCACGCCAAGCTTTTTAGAAGCCAACTTGGCCTTCCCTTCCATGTGACCACGAAATTGCACACTATTCGACATGTCGACGCCGAGGATTCCGATGCTGGCTGAGTTAGCAAGTGCCTTGAAACTGAGGAGTTACGACAAAGGGGTTCTTTTTAGCGGTAATCGCGCAAACTTGCGTCTTCTGGGGAATGAACTGGACTAGATTTAGTCGCCCCCAATCCGAGACTTTAGCAAAGACTCCACTTCAGACACAAGTTTTTGTTTGTTTTTTCCATTGCATTGCAAAATAAATATTTTGTTTTAAGAGTTTATTTAATAAAATGTACATACATTTTATTAAATAAACGAAAATTATTAAATAAAAAAAGGAAAAGGTCAAGTTAAAAAAACGACGTAATTAAATGTAAAGTTAGTAGTAAAAGTTTATTATTATTTTTAATGGAATGGATGACAAACGAGCACACGGTCCACCTGATGGTAAGTGGTTGGTGTGGCCCGTAGACATCTACATTTATCCTCGTTTGCGAATCAAAATGCAGATGCGTTGTCACCCGTGAGGGCTAAGATGGGATGCCTCTTTTCCAGTAAAATGGGTCTCCGGTTCTCTACACTCACCATACGAAACACAGCAGTGTTAAGCTGCTATTTGACGCTGGTATTCTGTGAGAGCGTGGTCCTTCCCCGGTCGAGCCGATCTATTCATGCCACAACTATACTACTAATATAGCTGCAGCATGGCTCTATCACGTAAAATTATTAGGACTAATTTGAGCCCATTTTAACATATTTTAAACTTAAGCAAATGTTTATTACATTGTGTGATTGTTTATTAAATAACAATATGAATAAATAAAATAAACAATAAACAATGTATTGCGAGGAAGAAATCTCGTTTTATTTATTATTACCGCAAACGCGAATAAAACAATAACAAAGTTATTTTAGCGACTTTCCGGTATTTTGCGCAAAGTTATTGTGACTTTTAGGTAAAAATTGTCACTTGGGTGTTACGTAACGTTTAGGCGGGGGGGGGGGGGGGGGGTCTAGATAAACGTTACGGCGCGTTACATAGGGGGGTGGGAGGGTCAAAAATCTTCAAAAATTGCGTTACGTAATACTTGAACGGTCCCTAAGTACAAAATTTATTTTAGAAACAGCTTGGAAGCGACCACCTCATTCCCAGGGGTTATTATCAACTATGTTATTAGTCTCGCGACAACTAGAAAATGACCGAACCGATTTTGATGAAATTTGTGTTTAAGTTTGCTCCTGGATGATCTAAGCGATTCACAACTTGATGTGTGACTGTTGTCAGTAGGGCTTCCAAAATTACGGATATGTTAATTACGTAACTGATTACGAATTTTGGTGGTCCAATTACGTAACTACGTAATTACGTAATTTCTAAGATATTTTTGAAATCGAATATTTTATTTTATAGGTAGCAATGGGTAATGTAAGAAGTGTACAAGAATTTTGATTAAACTAAAGTTTTTATTGAATACCAATCATATAACTTAATCTCAAACCACAACACAAAGATATTAGATAAATTAGGTTAGATAGATTTATAACAAAATAAAGAGATCTTTTTCCTTAACAGAATGCTCTTTTATTTTACTTATTTGACTTTTAATGAAAATGAGATCTCATAAACGACAACGCGTTTAGTGTTTTATCGCTTAATGAACTTCTTAATTTACTACATAGATAACCAGCTGAAGAAAAAGCACGTTCAGCTTCAACACTTGTTGGTGTAATTGATAGTAAATAATTATAAGCTGCTCTTAGGTACTCCACGACCACCGCCAGCAGTATCATAGATGCACATTTTCACTCTAACAATGGACTCAAGATCTGTGTTAACCGTAGATTTGTTTACCTGTGACGTGGCTTTACATATTATCTCTTTTTCTAATTCCTGGGCTACAGTTAACTCTTCGTCACTGGAGTCAGTATGTCCTGTGCTTATTTGTTGTATTGAACTTTGACTTGTCTGTGCAGACGTTGTGTTAGCTGTTAATTTCAGCCTTTCTAATAATCTTGTAATATATGTCCTTATATAATCTGACGTCGGTTTTGTGAAGGTTTCTGTTGATATGGTTTCGTAAAATTGTTCATTGTTATGCAAATACTGTAAAATACCAGATACACTCGTTTGTCTCTCTTTTATTCTTTTTCTAAGGGAAATAGCAAGCCTTTCACTGAGTTCGTTGTGCTGATGATCAAGTTTATTTAACATAAACTGAAGAGCAGCATCTGCCGTCAATAGGTTTGAATCCCGGCGACACAAAGACATCACAGTTTTTTTTATAACATCTAAAGTATGATGAATATCGTGCAGTTCTTGGATTTCTTTTTCTGTAAAATTTATATTTGATTTCAAATCCAGTAATGCTTTCATGACACTTGATTTTAATTTTAAAAATCGGCCAATCATATCCGACAAGCTGTTCCACTTAGTCTTGCAGTCGAGCATAAGATCCAGGCCCTTTCCACATTATTCTACAGAGTATTTATGCAACAAGTCATTTTTCAAGGGTGACTTTTTAAAAGATTTAACTAAATCTCGTACTTTTTTTATAGTATCTTTGTACAGAAATTCAGATTCTGGAATTCTTGGTACTTAGATATCAAATCCTCCATAGTTTTCTTCAGAATCTTCAGAGTCGTAATGCATGCAATGCGTTGACTGGTTCTTTGACTTATATAGCACATCGAGAACCGCAAGTTGTATGCCGTGGGCGAAACACAATTGATGGTGGCCGTCAAAATTTTTGCCCATTTTAACCATTACGCTGGCTCCGTCTGTTGTGAAAGCAACTATGTCTTCGAGGCTAAGTCCGAAGTTGCTCAAATGTTGTTGTATTAGCTGAGTTCCTACATCTGCTGGCATTGAACCTTTTATTCTCACCAGACCCAAATTTTTGTAATTAGCTGGTTCGAGATCTTTACTGTGGATATTTATATTCATATATCTTTTATTTCGGGTACAGGTCCACTCATCAAATGTCATTGTAAATCTTTTGTTTTGGGACTTCATTTCCTTTAAAAGACGTATCAGTGCGTTTTTTGTATTATCATGTAGCTCTAAAACTATCCTGGTTATAGTTGTTGGCGATTTCGGTAGATCGTAGCCGGATTTTTTGAAAACATGCCTTAGGTCTTCAGAAGTACAAAATTTGCTCAACGGGATACCATCCGATGCTGCCATTCTAGTCACTCTTAACTCCATGGAAGAGTCGCTTACATAATAATCCGTGAGTTTAGTTTTCTTTTGGGGTGCTTCATATGGGGCCTTGAATTTATTCTCTACGTGGAAATACCCCCTCGTTCTGTTTCAATGTTGGCTCCTGGGTTATCATGTCATACTGTTTAAAATAGAGGTTGTTGTATGTAATAAGTCGCTAAATTGATTATTAATATTTATTATTATTTATTATTTATTATTAATACCCTTCACCTAGCAGTAGTGGGTAGAAATAGGCTGATATGATGATGATGATAATAAGGACTTATACTTACGTAATTACGGATTTCAACCCTTCAGTTACGGACTTGTCAGAAGTTTAATTTTTTTGCGTAATTACGTAACTGCGTAATTACGTAATTACGGAATGGAAGCCCTCTTGTCACCCGTGCAAAGTCCTAGGGTGGACAGGAATAAAAATAATTTGAAAGTTGCAAGTTTTAGAAAAAAAAAAACGAATGCAAACATACAACGCCTTTTAGGGTATAATCGGTTTAAAAGAGGGTATAAAAGAGAATTCTGTGAAATATACTCTCCTAAAGCAGAACAGCGTAATACATAGAGAGCTTCTCTCTCCAATTTAAAATTTTTAAATAAAACAAAAAAAATGCGTGAGTATCGTGGAACACTCGGTTGGAACGAAGTTCCTTTCGTAGTATATTATTATTGATAAACGTAGAATAATTAAAATGAAGCGTTATTTGAAATATAAATAATATGTCTTTCATGGTAAGATAAGAAAGAGTGCGAGGGTGATGGATATTATTCCTTCTCACTTCCTTATTTCGCCGCCAAGGTCGTCTACACTATGACATAAGGGGTCATGACGAAAAAGTCTTCCACTTTTTGGAAAAAAAATATCCGATAAAGAACTTCGTTCCAAAAATAATTTTCCTGTATAGTAACAGTAATGAATTGAGTTCTAGTGGCGGCGTTAGAGAATCGACTACCCCATATCATCCCGTGTCGTAACAGGCGAAAGAGTCAAACTGAAATAAGAGATGGATAATAGCATTTTCCTTAAAACAACTACAAAATGAAAACCTGCGGTTGCCGACTAGGCTACCAATCGTGGCTACTATGACAAAAAAATCTCCTCTAAGTGGCAATATTTGAGGAGGCATATGTTCAGCAGTGGACTTTTGATAGACTGTAATTAATACATTAATAAAAGAGTAAACACAGAATCTCTTCTAACAACGCATATGGCTGAGGACTTGTTGTCGATGGAATTATAAAGTTAAATGGAGTTATATATAAAACTCGTTTCATAAACAATCTAGTAATTAACTGAGCTTTTACATGTTTGTTTCATATATTTAATGTAATTTCTTGTTTAATTTAAAAAAAAAAATACAATACTTTTAAAATTAAGGTAACTCCACGTTTTTCTTACTCCACCCATCCTTTCCCTCGGAAATCCTACGCGACAAAAGTTTTAATTATATCCCCATCCTTATCTAACACGTGCAACATGAACAGTTATTTTTCTCTTTCGAATTATAAATAAGCGCGTCTCGCTCGCTCCCGTATCTTGTACAAATACAGAGAAAGTGATAGTTTGAATCTAGAGTTGATAGAATCATTTTTAATTGGATAAATTTTACACGTTACCGAAGAGGTTGACAAAAAGTCACTCTAGAAAGATCTCACAGAGCTAACGACCAATGGAATGCCAATAATAGAAACATCGAAATGCCTTTGTTAAAATAAAAACAATTATGTGAAATTATTACAATACATTGATTAAATGTAATGCCATATAGATACAGCTATGCACCCAGCTATATTAGTAGTATAGTTGTAGCATGAATGGGTCGGCTCGACCGGGGAACGACCACAGAATACCAGCGTCAAATAGCAGTTTAACACTGCTGTGTTTCGTATAGTAAGTGTAGAGAACCGGAGACCCTTTTTACTGGAAACGAGACATTCCATCTTAGTCCTCACGGGTGACAACGCATCTGCATTTCGATTCTTTATTGAGGATACATGTAGATGTTTATGGGATCACAGCAACCACTTACCATCAGGTGGACTGTGTGCTCGTTTGACACCCTATACTATAAAAAAATATAGTGTCGAACCTATTACTATTTTAATTGTTATATTTTTTTTAATTGTGTAAATATAATATTGACGCCGAATACCTGAAAACGAGCAAATCGACGTTCTCGTATATATGACGACTACTGAAATGGCTAAATGCAATTTCACGTGTATTGATTTATCGCATGAAGTAAAGAGCTGGTTCTGCATGTTCTAAAAATGAAATTTTATATTTTATTTTTCTTATCTATGTTCAGTAGTAGTGGTAGTAAGGTGTTTATATTATGCTAATTTATTTAGGTAGATGTATAGCCATCGATATATATGTACTACATACTAGATTGCGCATTCCGAACATCCACTATGTTCAACTGAACTGTACTGCAATCCGTACAGTGTGTCATTTAGTGTGGTTTCAATCTACTAGTTAGTCTGTGGTTTCAATATTCATGCACTGTGGAGCGGCGCTAATAATACAAGATTTCAAATTAAAGTTTAAACCTGGACGTAAATAACAATTCAGTAGTCAAGTAAGTAAAATTATTTGTTGTTCAAGTGAATAAATAGGTAATAATATCGCATTATTATAAAAGAAAAAATCATGTTGAAAAATATATTTCTTTATATAAACTGACCGCGCAGGCGCAACGCGCAAAAATCAACTGCGCATGCGCGACATTACTATCTCCTGCGCATGGGCGAAGACATAGAGTAGTGCACATTTTTTGTTTAGAAAGGCTTCTCTAGTACGTAGTACATATAACTCAATGTGTATAGCTAATAATTCTTTATGTCTTTGTTAACTTTTTTTTCATAATAGGTAACGAATCAAAGTGTTTGTGTGTAATTGAAAATAATTAAAAAATTGTAATTAAAAATTGTAGTGTATTATGCCCAGAACAGGAATGGGTTCGCTCGACCAGGGAAAAATCATGACCCAATAAAATAAATAAATTTGAAGAGTGGCTCTTCAAACTTAAGTATGATGAGGTCGAGGCATTATTAAAAGTTATTAAATAAATTTTACATACACAGAAACAAACAAACATGCGAACACACGCACACATACAAAATACACACGCGCGCGCGCGCCCATAGACTCACACTCACATAAACTCGCACACTTATATAAAACCCTCATTAAATAAATATAAGCTTAGTGTCTTGTATTTTTTTTTATTAATTTATTTTGTGTTCGGACCGGGGCATCCTGCCACAAGCATATATTTACTTCAAAGGATGTCCCACTTACTCCCATTCCTATATATAATGTAATATGAAGTTTTTAAAGAAATAAACAAGTTTTAATTTAATTTTTAATAAATCCTATGAGAGCGTGGTCCTGCCTCGGTCAAGCCGATCCATTCGTGCTACAACCATAATACAGATGCAACGTGGCGCTACCGCGAGTATAATGCTATGGAGCTTAGAGTTTCTTTATATCTTCTCTTTTATTGGCGTAGCCGACAACCACAAACGTTGTTTTTGCCCAACTTGGCCCCCTTTTCTTATATTTATAAGTGCAATTTAGGATTCTAGGTACCTATTCAAGGGGTTATAATTAGGAATGCAAGATTAGAAGTGTGTAGGTTTAATAGGTTTTGAAGTATGGGGATTCAAATCTAGCTCGAAATGGTTTGTGTAAGTGTAAACACACTGCTGATGCATCGCCATTTTTTCTACATGGCTGAAGCACCACCCAGCAATGGACTTATTACTTATTTAAAACTAGCTGTTCCTCGCGACTTCACCCGCGTGGAATTTACTACGATTTCATGGACTTTAATTTTTTTGCGCGGAACCCTAATTCTTTTTCTGAAATAAAAGTATCTTAAGTTACTACTTATAACATCAGCTTTCTGCCAGTGAAACTCCCGACAAAATCGGTCCAGCCGTTCCGGAGATTAGCCGGAACAAACAGACATACAGACAGACCGAGAAAAATTTAAAAAAATTGTTTTTTTGTTATCGGTACCGTATATACTCGTACTTTCATATGCGTTTAGTAAAAAGCTGTTATTTTAACATTACAAACAGACACTTCAATTTTATTGCATACCTTAAGCGAAAGCGCAAGGTATGTTCTACTATCGCCTAAAAATTAAGATTCCAACGTTTTATCGAATAAAATCGTATCTAGCAATCATATTATACATATAAATGATATAAAAAGCACATTGTTAGAAAGATAAATGATTTTTGAACTTATTAATATTTTTTTTAAATCGAATAATTGCTATTTTTAAATAAAAAAAGGGGTTTTAGTGGCTTATGGTGTGGATTTATCGTGTCCCCAAGGCTTGTAAACACGATATCTTTTGAAAATATCAATTGTTTAACTCAGTCTATTTTTTAATCTCTTCATCTATCATGTGGGAACCCACTGAATGTAAATGGCAGTGTAATCTTTTTTTCTTTAGCTATAATTAATTTTTTTCGGCTCCAAAATGGCGAAATTTTCGTTGATTTAATAGCCTTGTATGTAAATTATTTCTGTAAATGGTCGACGTCGTGAGTGGACATTGTTTCGGTTGTTTGCAGCGGCTCAAAAAGATCGCTGTACAAACCAAATTTCTTAAATACTTCATTATAATAATAAGAGATTTTTTTTATTACAATATTTTAAAAGCACAGAATAAATAATAGTAGTACGTACTAAAAGTAGGTAGTATAATTTTTTTTGTCATGGGTGACATTTTCATAGTTTTCGAGGGTGTTGAAACAGATAGGGTTGTCGAAATGTAAATCCAAGATGGCGGCCGCAATAGGTATCAATTTTTTCATCATGAGTGTCGTTTTCATGGTTTTCGAGGGTGCTGAAGCCGATAGTGCTGACGAAATGTAAATCCAAGGTGACGGCTGCAATAGGTATCAATTTTTTAATCATGGCTGTCATTTTCATGATTTTCGAGGGT